TAATGTTAGTGTCCTTGTATCTTTGTATTTTCTTCTTTCCTTTCTTGAAGTTCTTTGTGATTCTTGGAAGATAAGTGTGTTTGTCTTCCACTTGTAAATTTTCTACTGATGAATTAATGAAAGTGTTATTGATCAAAAAAAAAAAAAAAGATGGTTTGCATAGTTTCCAAGGTGTCTAGGCGATTCTGGGCGACACTGGGGTGCCTAGTTGCCTAGGCAATAAAAATTTTATAATATAAAAACTAATTTTTGGCTAGTTCCCTAGTTTTATATACCATTAGACCTGTTCATGGGCCGGGTAGTCCGATGGCCCAGCCCGGCCCGACCCGCACCCTAGTCGGGCTTGGTCATGTAATTAGACCCGCGGGCCTGACCTCGGGCCTAACATAATAAGTCCAACTGTGTTACGGGCCGGGCTCGGGATTTGTCAAAAAAGCCCGGCCCGACTCAGCATTATATATTTTATAAAATACATAATATGTATTTTATATATTATATAAAATATATAAATAGTATAATATTTATTGAAATATATACATTTTTTTTATTTTTTCTTTATAATTTCTCACTCTCTCTCTCTCTATTCAGCCACTTCAGCAGTAGTAACAACATGGGCTAAATTTCGAGCTTGGACCCAGGCCCGGGCTTTGGGCTTTTTATGAGGGCCGGGCTCAGGCCCGATGGTCGGGCCGGGCTCGGGCTCGGGCCTTAGAAAAATCTATTAATATAGAGTGAAAGCCTGGCCCGAGCCCGGCCCATGAACAGATACTATTCACCATGTATAGTAATTGTAAAAATAGCAATTCTCTTTATTAAGGACATTAAAGTTTCTCTAAAAATGTGGCAAATCATCACATCTAAAAGATAAAAATCTTTTACATATGTTAATTTCATTATTTTCAAAAATAATACTACTATAAAAAGGATTTAATAGAGAAATTTCATATCAATTAGCAGCTAAAGAAGGTTATTAACTTTATATGATAAATACTCAAGATGAAAAGAAAAATAGAAAAAACACAGGATGGAGTTTCTGTTTTATTTAACTAGAGAGAGATAGAGAGAATAGAAAAAAAAATCAGAATCTCAATTCTATTCTTTCTTTCTTTTTCTCTCAAAACCCTTTGACCTTTTAAATTTCAATAGTAAAACATAAAAACAAAGTATAGTTGAAATATATATCATATAATAAAATGTATTAATACATACATTAATAAGATATAGTAATATCAATGATATTATAAAAGGCACCCGCCTTGTCATTTTTGTCTCCTAGGCAGGCACCTAGTTGCTAAAAGTCAAGGCATTTGGGTGAGGCGCCCAGCTAAGGGACCTAGTCGCCGATGCCTTGACAACTATGATGGTTTGGACTCTAGCCCTTCTGGAAGGCAACACTTAGATGCTTGTAAAAATTCAGTGAGACAATCTACCCTCTATTTCTCATATGCATCAGGTATGACCCTGTTGTAGGGCAGGAATAAATAATTGGGAAGAGGAGCCCTTGTGTGTTCAGTTCCATAGACTTTATTCTAGTTCTTTTTTTTTATCAGCAAGAAATTTATTGTACGAATTAATTATAAGATAACAGTAGTCTGATGACCATCAAGTCATCCCAAGTAATGTTTGCTAGGTTACATAGAAGCCCAAAACAATTGTTGTTTCTCCGCTCCTTGTTTAGCAAGGAATCAGGTAGCCCATTTGCATTCTTTCTTACCTACTGGAAATAAGCATTTAGTTCTCTTGCAATCCTTTCAACTTCCCTGTAAGCATTCTTGAGAGTCCAAGGGACATGTTTGTTACATCTCGCCCAAGAAATAACTACTTTTTAATCCCCTTCCACCTCCATCTGTCTGAAACCAGTTGTTTTGCCAACCAGAGACCATGTATTAGAGCCAACAATTCAGCCTTCATAGAATTAGCAGCTCCAATTGGTCTTGAATAAATGGCTAATATCTTGCCCTTCGAATTTCTGATTGCTCTACCTATTACTGCCATACCTGGGTTGCCTAAGGAGCTTCCATCGAAGTTCAACTTTACTTTGCTGCCTTGTGGGGGTTTCCACTCCATTCTTATTCTTTCTTTTTCTCTAGAGGACTGTGCTACCTCCTTCCATGCCCTTAGGATATCATTAATTGTGAAGTTCTGAAAGCACTCCAAGGTTTTAACCCAAAATGCAACCTTCATTTTTATGGCTTCTATTACTTCCTCCACAATTCTACTCTTTCCATTGAATATTCTGTTGTTCCTCTCTTCCCAAACCACCCAAACAGCTGCTGCCTTAGTTGCTTCCACATTAATCTCCCCGTTTTCTTTAGTTGCATCAGGAAACTTGGGTTGAAAATGTCCACCACCACTTGAGCAGGGTCCCACCTGTAGCCAAAAAAGAGAGCAGAAAGACTCCCAAATATGAGAAACAAAGGAACAGGAGATTAATAAATGGGATAGGGATTCTCCATTATCCCTACAAAAAAGCACATATGAGGAGAAAGGCAATGAGAGGGCCTTTTCTGCAACATATCACAAGTATTAAACTTTCCAAGGAAGATTTCCCAGTAGAAGGCTTGAATTTCTGGTGGGATAAGCTTACTCCAAATTTCTTTTACCAGGAAATCCAGCCCTTAGGAACTAGGTAGGGATAAAAGTTTGAAAAAAGATGAACACGTGAAGAGTCTTCTAAGGTTGGTTCCAGAGAAGTTGTCTCCAACAAGTCAAGTAGGTTAATCGGTGCAGTGTGTTCACTCTCCCTAAGGCCTCTTCTAAAACCAAGGTTCCAATTAAAACCTGAAAGAGAGGAAGTTCCCAATCTGGACACCAATTTGCCCTTGAGATTAGAGTGGGCAAAGAGTTCAGGAAATTGATCTTTTAAAGGTGTTACACCTATCCAAAGGTCTTCCCAAAATGTATGTTTTCACCCCTGCCCACATCATAACAGATAGAGCTAATGAATGAAGGGTACCGGTATACCTCATGAATTGCTTTCCAGGGAGAAGCTGAAGTTGAGTGATTATTATGTTTTCCATCCCAGCCACTACCCTCCAGACCATGAATGTTTACAATTACTTTGTGCCACAACCTGTCTCTTTCGAACGGAAATCTCCACAGCCACTTTCCCAACAAAGTAGTGTTTCTGAGGACAATATTTCCTAATCCTAGGCCCCCTTTCTCCTTTGGTTTGAAAACATGTTCCCACTCAACTGAATGATCTTTCTTTCCTCTCCTGGTTCCTACAAGGAATTCCTCATATTTCTTTAGTTGATTTGCAATCCTGGTTGGGATACGGAAGGTGGACAGCAAGTATATAGGTAGATTTGCTAAAGTAGCTCTAATCAAGGTAATTCTTCCTCCTAGAGAGATATAATTTCTTTTCCATAGGTCTTGCTTCTTAGCAAACCTCTCTACCACACTGGCTTCCAAAAACTATCGGGTCTCAAATTTCCCCCCAAGGGTAGTCGTAGTCCTGGATAGGTTATAAACCAATTCCTAACTTCAGAACCCAGCACCTCCACAAAGCTTAGAAGTTCCCTTCCTCCAAGTTGATTCCGACAATTCCACTTTTATTCCAATTTATTCTCAAATTTGAGATTTCCACAAAGTTGTCAATCAATGATTCCAGATTTCTTACCATGTCTAGGTCAATATCCTGACAAAACAAATGTCATCAGCAAACTAAAGATGGGAGACAATTACTTGATTTCTGCCAATCCTCCAACCCCTAAACAGTCCCTGTGCATCTGCCTCCACAATCATTCTACTCAAGACCTAGTAGGGTGAAGAGGAAGGGGGATGAAGGGTCCCCTTGTCTTATACCTCTCTTAGCCAGAAAAAGTCTTTTGCTACCCCATTAATAAGAATTGAGTAGTGCCTAAGCTGACACAACCTTTTAACCATAGCCTCCATCTAGCTCCAAACCCTAGATTTTCTAGGACTACTAATAGAAACCTCCAATCTACTAGGTCATAGACTTTTTCTAGATCCACTTTATACACTAAATCCTTTTTCTTGCCCTTTCTTCTCTCAACAACACATTCATTCGCCACTAGGATTTGGTCTACTATCTGCCTACCTTCCACAAAAGCCCCTTGGAATGGAAAAATCACTTATGGTAGAACCTGCTTGATCCTTTTAGACAAAACCTTTGCAATGATCTTGTAGATACTTCCAATCAGACTAAGAGGTCTAAAATCCCTTCGAGAAAACGCATCTTTCTTCTTCAGTACCAATGATAAGAAAGTTGCATTTGCTCCAAAGGGGATCTCCCCCTTTAAGAAGAATTCATCAAAGACCTCCAAGATCTCAAACTTTAGGAATTCCCAAAATTCTTGGTAAAAAGCCATATAGAAACCATGCGGACCAGGGGCTTTGGACCTATCAATAGAGAAGATCGCTTCCTTGATTTCTTCCACTAAAAAAAACCTTCTTTCCAATAACTAGGACTGTTCCTCAAAGATTTTGTTCCATTCCAACCTTGGCAAGATTGACCTAAGCCCAGTTAATTCTAAGAAAAGAGATTTAAAATAATTCACAACTAGACTTTATTCTATTTCCAAATATGAACTTAAGCCTATTTTTATTTGATTCCTTCTCACCGTCGAGCATCAATTGGGATTTTGATTTTAGGAGAGGCTTTAAAGACCATGAGAATAATGAGGTGGTAGATTTTTTTATATCCCTAAGGATGTAATTACTTAAAGAATTGGATAATAGAATTTGGATTATCAACTCAATTGACTCACTTTTTACTTTTGCCTCTTTTTTCGAACTCAACAAACCTACCCATTCCATACACCTTTTCCAAGTTAATGCTCTCTAGGATGGCCCACTACCCCTAAAATCAAAGCATTTTGTTAGGAAGCCTCTTTGAAGATGACCAACACTAGTCAAATACTCCAGTGAAAATGAACCACATAGTGACCCCCCCCCCTCTCATGTGTGTCTATTGCCAAGAGAGTGGTGAGAATGACAAAGACCTTTTTTCCTTTGCTGCCCCTTATCATAACCTTTAACGCACTAGAATAGCAATGCTTCGGGATGTTTGGCATCAAAGGAATTCAAGAATTATATATTATTAACTTTACTACAGAAAGGATGGCAAATTGCATGCTAAGAAAAAAAGGAATTTAGAAGGGATTTTAATGGATGCTATCATGAGAAGGTGGTTCTTACTTCTTAGTTGCTAGTTGTGCTCCTGCACAAATGAAATTAAGCTCAATGCATTCAAAAAATTAGAAATTGACACTGAAACAATTAAATTTATAAGAACTAATGTATATGCAAATTAACCTAACAATTTACTATGCTTGCAGTAGAAATGAACCACATGTTGAAGGGAAATTTCAAAAGAGCCCATGTACTGCAAATTACCTTCATTGTATAGATGTGATGACATTGGATCGGATGCTTTTGGGCCATCTCTATCCCATTGCCATTGCCCCCCAGCTTTTGAAGACATATACGGATGCTCTTCTTCTTTGGGTAAAGCATCTGGCCGTCCAGGAAAATGATTCATTGCAGGGTTATGTTGCATTCTTTGTGCAGACATCTGCTGCATCTGTGCTGCAGCATATGAATTGACACCAGAATCAGCATATTGTCCTTGTCGTCTCATCTCTGTTGCTTCACCAGAGCAAATTGATCATTCAACCTAACACAACAATCAGAAAATTAAAACCTCAGGCACTTGTAAAAAAGAAAGAAAGAAACGTATCCACAATTTTTCCCATATTTATTTCTTGATATACCAAAAAGGGGGTTGGGAGTTGTCATGGAAATCAAATCCTGAGGCCACAAGACCAGTGCTCGAAATATTGCATGGATAGCCATGGAACAGCATTTCAAGCAAATATGATCAGGTAATGATCCAATGGCATATCAAATATTCAGGTTTTAATGTGAGTGATGCACAATTTTTTAATAATTAGAAAAATAGGTTGCAAGGCTCTCAAATTTGACAGACTTGTAAGGAGAGAGAGAGAGATTCTAAACTTGACATTCAACCAAACCAATACAAATAGGCATACAATCAAAATAAACTTGACATTCAACCCTCCAACTCAAAAAGACAAACTAGTTACCCAACTTGGCAACAAATACACCAAATCCCCAACAAACGACAGAATCCCAAACAACATATGAACACTAGATTCCAACTTATTACAGCTCAAAAACTTTGTTCGATTACTCAGCTTCTCCAGTAGCTTTAACAGTAACATCTTTACTTCTCTTACAAGCTTTCTTTATGTTCTTTACCTTACAGGCCCAACCCCAAATAAATCTCCTTTCAATCTGACAAAAACTTTCAAAACCCAAACTTTTTGTTGGTTTTCTGACTTCTGAAATGCCTTACTGCATTTAGAATCTTCTCAAGAACCACCAAAAAACTGGTAGCATGCATATTAACTACCAATACTCTTTTTCTTATTTTATCAACCTGATAATTCTCAAACAGGCTAACAAGAATGCCTTCTATCACCCCGAACACTCAAAACCCCACAAACCCTGTGTATTTTAGTGTCTCAGACCCTTTGGATACAGATATGATGCACCCAATCTGGGTGTATCATATCACTGTTTTGATCCATTCTGTAAATATATTTTGTCACATACCAGATAATTTTTTTTTATCAGCAATACAGAAATGATTTATTAGATTAAAAGAACATGTACAACAAGAAGTTGTGGGTAGACGAGAAGTCCACAGAAAGCCCACTAATTACAACACAGATAAAATTCCCATCTTCTCAACTCTAAGACTCTTTATTTCCTCTAGTGTCTAGTCCTCAACCCACCTTCATCTGTTTTTCTCTTTTGCTTTCTGAACTTTCGTTCTAATTTCAATTTTCAAATGTACAGAACTTCAGCTAGGGGGCAACAATGGGTTGGACCAGTCTGGGCTCAAATTAGGCTTGGCACCTATGACAAGAGATGTAATCAGGGCCAAACCAATCAGGTCAAGGATTTAGGCCTATGACATTAAAATTAGGGGTGAGCATAGTTCGGTTAAAACCAAAAAACCAAACTGAAATTTCGGTTTCAGTTAGTTTGGGCTTCAGTTCAGTTCGGTTTTTTATAAGTCAGTTCTCGGCTTCGATTATGAGTTTTAGAAGTTCGGTTAACTGGGAAAAAAAAACTTTTATATGTATTGAAGTGTCATAAGTGTTAAGTGTACTGTGTAATGTGTATACGTAATATTTGTAATATTTAATGGTATTTAATAGCATATTAGGAAATGGAAAACTTTGCCCCAAACCCCTAAATTGACAAAACACACAATCATGAAATGACCAAAGACACAACAAAAAGTCTAAAAGTAGGGCTGTCAATGGATCGGGTCAGACCTGATGGACCCAAACCGATTGGACCGGTTCTTGTTCCATAATTTGCCCCGATGAGTCGGTTATGGGTCTTAAAAAAATCCTGATTACTGTCGGGTCGGAACCGGGTCCACCTTGTCAAACTGATTTGGACCCTTACCCTATATATATAATATATACACACACACACTATTAAATAGATATATGATTTATGTTATGCCATATTTAAATAAGGTGGGGCTAAAAGTGTCATTTCAGTGGGGTTTTGAGACCAAAATGCTGCCCCCCTAACAAGCTAACCCTTTTTCGTTTTTGTCTTTCTGAAGAATTCTTCTTTCACAATTTCAGTTAGTCACTCTTTCTCTAAGACTGAATCTCTTCTCAGTTCTCTCACTCGAAAATCAAAACTTGAAGCACATCGATCGGAGGCTGCCGACTGGTCCATCTCAGTGGTCTCACCGTCTGGAGAGGAGAGTGGAGGCTGCCCTGTCGGCTGGAAGCACATCGTCTCACCGTCTGGTTTGTCCATCCGGCGACCGTCCACCCATCCATCAACAGTAACTCAGTAAGTAGTAACTCTCACTCCCTTTGTTACCCAATGATCAATGACAAACTAAAAGTCTGAAATGTTGATTTTTATTGTGAAATCTTTGGTCTTCCTCCATTTAAATATTTTGATTTTTTATTGTTAAAATGTTGATTAATTTTTTGAGTGTCAAAAAAACTGAAATGTTGCATGTTGGATTTTTAATGGGTGTTCATCTTGTTTATGGAGTTATTATGAATATTGCATTCTTTATAAATTTTTCTGATATGGGAAAGAAGGCATAAGACTGTGAACACCATGAAAAAAGAGAACAGAAATTGGAAAAGAAACAAGAAAAAAAATCACTTCTATGACTAGGTGTGAGCAGGAAGCATTAGCCTCCTAGTTCCCGACTGATCTGAACTTATCCTACTTTTAGTACATGCGTCACACAAGGTCTGGGTCTACACCTTGAATTACAAATTTTAAGAATCAGGTACTGATGCAAATACAAAAGCAAGGAAGGAGTTCATAATCAAGTCCACGGGTTGGACCCGATTGTCCCAAGGGTCTAGGTCGGTTCTGGGTCCGTGGGTTATCTTATCGGTTCCGGGACCGGCTCTACCTGGTTCCGACCCAGAATTGACCCGTTGACAGCCCTATCTAAAAGACTAAAAGCAGTAAAAGTCTAAAGCCCTAATAGTTGACAAGTTAACCACAACCGAACCTGTTGAAGCTCAAAGGACAACAGGTGTTTACAGACATCTCTTTTTTTTATCAATAACACTTCCATTAATTCATCAGTAGAAAATTTACAAGTGGAAGACAAACACACTTATCTTCCAAAAGTCACAAAGAACTTCAAGAAAGGAAAAAAAACAAAGATACAAAGACACTACCGTTACAGCTTAGCCCAAAACAAAGAATCCCTTTCTGCCCCTTGTTTTGCTAAACCGTCAGCTAAAGAATTAGCTGATCTTTTAATCCAACATGTCTTAACTTCCATCTCCCGCACCAGCCATTTGAATTTCCTCTTCTCATTATTATACTTCCATAAATCATTTTGATCTTTAGTCAGCCACACTATCACCACTTCTGAATCCCCTTCAATTATAAGTTTCCTGATGTTCAATTCCTTAGCTTTCCAGGTGTTTACAGACATCTCTGGCAAACTGAACCTTCTTCTACAGCAAACCACACTTTTTTCAGGTAATATCCTTTTCATTCATTCTTTTTTCCTTTTTCGTTTTTACTTTCGCTCTATATTTTGCTGCTTGTTGGCCATCAGTTTTCTCTGTTTTAGTCTTAATTTTTTATTTATTCAAATCTCCAGGCCTTTGAGATTCAAGTCTATTTGAACCGTAGTTGCTTAATCTTCTTATAAAAAAAAGGAAAAAAAAAAAAAGAACTGAATATCAGGCCTCCATTATTTCGGTTTTAACCAAAATAACTGGAAAAAATCTGTTCAATTTGTTTGGTTTTCTAGAAGTTCAGTTTCGGTTCGGTTTTTAAGTTCAGAAAATCGGTTATTAAAATTTCAGAATGGTCACCTCTGATTAAAAATATATGGCCACCCAAAACTCATGGTTGTCTAACCTTAAATAAATGAATAAAAAGGCTTGATTCTCACAATAAGTCGACGTGGTAGTCCAAAGACTTCAAACCCAACACTAAGCCTACAAACTCGAGCCCAACTCACACAAAAGTTCAGGTTGAATTGGGCCAGGCATAAGTTTGGCCCACCAATGTTGCATCTCTTTGTGTGCCCCATTCTATTAATTATATGGATCCTAAGTGGGCAACAGCAAAATACAAGCCAATACAAATAGCACTAAAGGCCTAATAACACAATCAGTGCAATTCTCAAAAATATAATAAAATATTTAGGGTTATAATAATCAATGCAACATTCCATCCAGCCATTAAGGAGCTCAAAACCTACTCAATGACTTATCCATTTAAAGGCAATGTGTTAAGTCGTTCAGTTCAGCCAGTTCAATTTTATCAAACAGCCCCTAAGGCGGCCCTAAAGGTAACCCATTAGGACACTCAATTAAGGATTACTCATAAAATAACTTTGCGCCTGTTTGGGATGGCTAATCTGAACATTCAGCTAAGCTCGTTCAGCTGCTTTGAGGCACTCCAAATAAGCTTTCTAAGAGATCGAAGCGCACAGCCCAAAAATGACTAACTGAGCTGATTTGGGCTCTCTGAATTTTTTCACCAAACATAGTTGAGCCCACCTTGAAAAGACAGAAGCCACTACGCTTTAGCCCTCCCAAACAAGCACTTTAACAACACTCTCATGCCACACAAGAAAGGAGAACTTTTCACCCTTGAAAAAAATGATAAGTAACATAGATTTCATTAATCCAATGGCAAACAAAGGGAGTACAATTGCTGGAAGAAAGTCCAGTCACCCAAAATGATTCCACCCAACCCAATTACAAATCAACTCAAAACAATTGTTCCCTATTTACCCCTTGCTTGGCCAAGTAATCTGCCATTCCATTTGTTGTTCTCCTTATCCAAACAAAGGCTGCCCCCACCACCTTGGCTAAAGATTCAATTTCCCTGATTGTATGTTTATACTCCCACTCTTGAAATATTGTTACTTAACCAAGACCACCTTGGAATCCACCTCCACCTCCAATAGTTGGATTCCAAGTTTCTTGGCTATCCGAGAATTGGGATGAATTTTTACCTTTGGAAAATTAGAATGAAGGAAAAATAACGTGATTGCATCTTCAATTTTTTAAAATTCTAAAATCTCTCTAAAATGACTCTTTAAACTATGACCCTTTATGCCAATTAATCCTATTCCTATCCCCCAAAAAACTAGAAAATAGATTTGAAAGAAAAAATCTTGTCCTTGAGAATGAGGAGCATACTTATATGAAGAAACTTATTGCAATAATTGCAACTGGCTCAAGAACATTAAGAAACTAGTTTTCTTCTTCTATATTTTCTTTATTTATTTCATGCCTGCGTCAAGTATATGACAGTCTGTTCCTCTAGAAAACATCTTGTCCTCAAGAATGAGGCTCCACCTCAAACTCAATCCCTGTCTAATTACACTCTTCTAATTTATACATCTTTATCAGCATCAAAACAGCCTTTATGGGATTCTCTTTATTGGTACACAATGAGGATCAGTACACAACTTGGTTGGGGCAGCTGGGCGGGGCTTGGAGTCTTCCCCACCAAAAGTGATTGACTGTAGATTCTAGACAGCCCTTCTCACCATGACATGGTAGTCCAACATTTTACGATGATTGCACCATTCAGCATTAAAAAACATAGCACCACTTTTACTATTACAATTTCACCTTCATTATCCTCATGTGAAGATTCATCCTCCAAGCTTCTGAAGCTCTTGTAAAATGGCTCGAAGTGGTTGAGATTGTTGCCTGAGAGGTTGGTACTGTTTCCCATGGCTTTCTAACACAAGGCTGACACTTTCTTTTACCTTTTTCGATAGATCCTTTGTCTCTTATTACAGCTAATGGATTGTAGCCTTGTAGGCTTTAATACCATCTGTTAAGTGTCTTTCCAAATAAACAAAAAAGGGAAAAAAAGTTAAAAAAAGAAAAAAAAAATAGATGAAGAAAAAGAAAGGGAGATGATTGGGATAAGACCCCTGCACTTCGAGGGTGTTTGGCCTCCTCGAAAACTCTTCTTGTCTTCATATATCACTCGACTATCCCACAGAACCCACTAACACGTAATACACCCACTGTTCCTGTCTTACCAACAACGACCACCTTAAAGCTAACCTAACTAACTCGATAACAAAGCACACAACACTAGTCTGGAATGCAATGGGGAAAAGGAAGTTCGGAGAAAAAGAGTTGATAAAACAAGGAGGAGAACTCGTGAAGTGTGAAATAACAAAATATGAAAGCGAAATCAATTTGTGTAGCCAGCTCAGATTACTATAAAACTAAATTAATACAGTTTTGAATTCAGAAATAACGGAGAAATCCAAGGAAAATGCACCAAACCAACATTAAAAAAAACGCATTTCAAGAGAAACTCAATGCTAGCAAAGAACTCGGTAACAGGAGACTACAAATCTGCTTCACTAGCTCAATTCATAAAAAATGAAAACATAACCAAAGAAACGCAAAATTAAAAGAAAGAAAGAATAACCAAATGGCTGGAAAGAATAATACCCTTCCCCCCTCTCTCTCACTCTCTGAAATCTGAATACGTCGAACCTACAAAAAAAAAAAAAATCGAACGGTCCAAGCCCATTATAAGAGGTCAGATCTGGGGAAGTTAATATGCTATAATCAAAGCTAACAATTTATATGTGAGTTAGGGTTTTGGTCTCGTACTGAACTGACGCCTATGGCTTGCTCTCTCTTCCTCCTCTTCGTTTCAGGCAGCACTACAGCAATGTCGGAATCCGGTAGTTCGATCAGCCAACGAAGAAATGTCGCGGTTCGATGTTACCATGGCTACCGAGACCGAGTTTGGAGTCCGGACTCATAAGCAGCAAGGACGGGGGGAACAAAGGAACAGAGAATTCGAACGATTTGGGATATAAGGAGGATCTCCAACCAAGTACTGTATCTTATGCGGGGCCATTTTACAATTTTGTTCTTCAAAAAGAAAAATTTTCCAAAAATCCAAAGCGCGCTTTGGCCTGTGACAAGGGTAGTCAATTAAATATGTAAAACGGGTCTTCCAGTGGGACCATTTTCAAGTACGGGTGTTGGTGGGTCGGATTGGATTTGATATCCCATTGGGTTTGGGTGGGGTGACTAAGGCTCAGTTTGGAAGGAGTACAAATAAAAATATGTAGAATGCAAAATTTTACATTTCTTATTATTTTATATCAATATATATTTTTATTTGTTCCAAACTGATCCTTGAGGTCTAAATGAGAACTCTGGCGTTTGGTAGAGGTATTAATATACCTTGTAAATGGGTGTAAAAGTGCATTGTTGTTAGTGGACCTTCTTCTCCTCCTCTATACGAACAAGCTTCTCTACGGTGGCATACTCCATGATTCAGGTCGTTCAATGCTAGAATTATCGCACCAGTTGAGAATAATCAATTTGAAGGCAATGTTGGGAATTGAAAGAGAGAAATCAGGTTTAGAGCCGTCAGAGAGGATTGGTGTAAAACCCAATTTCTTACAAACATGAACACAATTTCTGCTCGAATGTTTGGCCGAAAGCAACAATTGCATGACCAAGACCCATAAATTGGACATAGAAAAAAGGGTTCGACTATGATATGGAAAAGATATGATATCTGAAAAACTTCTGACCAGTCAATTGGAATCATAAATGTGGTAGCCAATTAGGTGTTATTTATCAAAATTCATGGGTGGATTTTGATTGGTCAAAACTCTTCCTATACCATATCTTTTCAGCATCATAGATTTTCCCTAGAAAAAAATTCCTTTGGGGGGTTGCTTCGCTTCGCTCCTATCATCAGTGGTGGCTCACCTCGTGTCTACCTTTCCTTACCTCAAGATGTTGAAAGTGGGGGTTTCATTGAGTCTACACCTACTTCCGATAGTGACAAACCAATGGTGGCCGCCAATGAAGTTGCTGAAATGTCTAGTTCATTTCTGCTACTTGGATACAACTTCTAAAATGCACAAATGAAAGAAAATAAACACACGATGTAAAACAAACTCAAACAAAAGCAAAAGGGAAATTGAAATTACTTAAAATATGAACAGGTTTTATCTTGGTTATTCACTCCTACATGGGTATCTCTGCGTTTTTCTTTTCTCCTCTTCTTCTATTATAAGTCACAACCATTTGGGGCAGCCCATCTTTGAGAGTTGCGATTTGTTACCAGAAGCCTTTTATTTAGGTATTTCGGAATTCAACTGGGTTCGACAACACAATTAGGTTAAAAAATAGAGAGAGTTTCATAGCAAAGGAGTGCATGGGAAAGCATTTCACTTTTACACCGTGACAACCAAACAACATGAGCATAAAATTCCAAGACACCCCCGTTTCATTCCCCATCGATCACTAAACCAAGGTCACACTTTCCATCAGTGTAAAACTGAATTTACACCTTAAACAAATGTAACCTTAGTACCGATTTGGGAGGGCTTTCAAGATGCAGTTTGTTATGGTGTTTCGAACTAGAGCCCACACAAGAATGCCAGAAGCTATGTATAGTGAAAAACCTGAAAGCATGCCACTATGTCCTGAACACAAGAAACACAATTGTAATATGAAGCTATTTAGAGTAGCTTCTTCAAAACATAGGTGCTCAACCACAACAACTCTATCTTTGCAACTCACTTCCAATGAAAAAATTTGTACCAAATGGGTTCTTTTTGTTTTGTTCATTTGTAATCTAATTGGCCACTCGATTTGTCTCCTATCACTCATGAGTAGTTTTGGCAACTTTTCTTATAAAATCAAGGCCTTGCCCACACCACTCCACCCCACCCCGAATGAGGTGGGTTTTCCCCAATCTTAAATAATGATGGGAAAATATTTTTTTCCCTAGACCAAGGGATGGGGTTTATATATAATTCCCCGAATCCACCTCGATCCTTATGGTAAAATTTTAAAATACCACTAAATTTCCACAATCTTATTTTTAAAATACCCCAAACTTTGATGCTTTTTTATATGATTCCCTCAAGTGGAGAAAATTCAAAGATTCCCCATCCCTAGCAAGGAGGGTGTGCATTGCCCCAAGCCCACCCACCACTAGGGATTGGGCAATGATGGGGTAAGGGATTTTGGCTACAAGATAGGGGCATGGAGGGGGTGCCCCACCCCATTGCCATTCCTACTCATGAGTGTACCTCACATCCAAACTCCAAACATGAGTAATAATTAGAAACAATCTCTTATAACATTCATAATACCCCATGGAGGAGTTCTCTTTCTACTTAAATAGTTGATGGCAGCCTTAGAGTTGCCTTCAATCCAACACACTATTGTTACTCCCACCTCCACATTCAAAAGATGAGCTTCCCTTGTAGTTAGAGATTCTTCAAGCCAATATAGGTATCAAATCAACAAACTTGTCTCTCCAATGGACAATTTCCCTAAGCATGTTTATTACACTACACCCAATTGTAGCTTTTCCCTTTTCTCTCTCTCTCTCTCTCTACCCCTCCTCTTCCTCTATAAGCATCAAAGTTAATTTTTAAAACAGGTAAGGGGTCTCTACGTGATCTATTTAATAATTTTTGCATTTATACTATTATCCTGGGCCTCATTGGGTTGAGATGCATTTAGGAATTCTATATATATTGGAACCAAGCTCAATCTTGCATTAAGCCTACAAATTTCCAATCTTGGGCATATTTTGTTCAAGCTTGAGCTTGCATAAAGTCTATAAATTTATAAGCTAGGTCCAATATTTGATACCCAATGATTGACCTTCAATATATTTACATATTACATACTAGGTTCAAAATTTTAAAATTTCATGTTTTCAAACTTTAAACTTACCTAATTCAAGCACCCTATGAAAATATGAAACAAAAAAATTATATATATATATATAGAGAGAGAGAGAGAGAGAGAATTGGTTACCCAAAAGGCATGATATACACATTCATATATATCAAGTGTATCGATACTACAAGACACACACACACACACACACACACACTGTATTAGTAAATGTGCACATGCTTTGCAAATGGCAATTTTTTATGATGGAGATGATAATAAATAATATGTTTTCAAAATCTTCTACATTTTCTTGTATATTTCTATGTATATAAAAAATATCTTTATTTGTCACATTTATTTTTGTTTATATGATGAATATACAATATTAGAGATTTATGCTCAAATGTTTTCTAAAAATATTTTTATTTGTCACATTTATTTTTGTTTATATGATGAATACAATATTAGAGATATATGCTCAAATGTTTTCTAGAAGATTTTTTATATTTTGATGCTTTTGTGTATTTTTATCTTTTGAATTTTCATTACTATTTAGTAATGACATCAAGAGTTGACACATATTGATCCAAAATGTTGAATTGTCACACTTGTTTTTCTTTAATATTATTAATTAATATAGAATTCAATGAAAGAATGGGAGTTAATACCCTAAATACAAGACTTAATGAGAGGGAATTGAATTAGGAGAAATATAGTAGTTCATATTACATTTTGTGCCCTCAAAATTAGAGAGGGACCGAATTCAATAATAGGGCATTCTATTCAAGAATAGGATTCAACAATTGTTAATGGAAATTAATACTTGAAATATAAGACATAATGAGAAGGATTTGAAGTGGTTGATCAAATTACATTTATGTCCTTACAATTAAAGAGGGTCCAAAATGAGAAATTGGGGTATTTTAGTCAAACAAAAGTTCCACATTCCCATTCACACTTCTAATTGTAGTATAGATCAAGGATTAAAATATCAATATGGTACACCATGTATCGGGTGCATCATATTGGTACCATTGTACCTAGATATGCTAAGATAAATGGATACGAAGATTTCAAAAAATAACTAAAACCTTAAAATGATGAATGATACCCTCTAATACATGTAAAAATAGTTAAAAAGTAAAAACCACAGTGTATCGGCCATATCGATACCCACTTGAGGGTATTGGGTGTATAAATATTTTAATCCTTGGAATAGATATATACATGTATTTTATTTTATATTACATAATATATAATATTCAAAGTTATAGGCCTTAAGCCAAGCTATAGCCCTTACCACTGGTCTAGTCCCAAGCCAAATCAGCCCATGGTCATATGTGATTTCAAGGTTGAAAAACTAAGAAATATTCCACCTATTAAATTAATTTAAAACTCCAAATACCCTAGACTTCAAGTTAACTTTTACCATAATTGGTTTTTAGCCTTAAAACCAAGACTTAAAGTATCAATACACATGAACGCAATACGTAACATACAAAAAAAAATTGTGAATCGTGAATTTTGAAAAAAAGTCTCTCTCTCTCTCTCTCTCTCTCTCTCTGTATATATATATATTTATGCACACACACATGATATTTCTCATGTTACTTTCCTTCTTTCTACTATCCACAGATCTAGCATATAGCACATGACAAGAAAAGAAAAGAACAATAGGATTATACATTTGGACTTGAATTTCAATCATATAATGCATAGCCATGGGTTGGGCCTCTTCAAATTTTATCAAATATATCAAACTAGGCACAACTCATGTAGAACCCTTTGGAGTTGGGATAGGGACTATAGATGTTTTTGTCAATGTGCAAAAAGTTGGGTAATAAGGGTTATATGTAAATGCATGCTTTCATATAAGGCAAAGAAAACCCTAGTATTAGATATGCTTGCATTCTTTTCAACCCTGCTTGCTACTCTTCTCTTTATTTGTTTTCCTCGCAAGTTTCAAGTAAACTACCACTCCCTTAGGAGCCATCATGGGTTAAGTTTGCACCAAGAACATATCAAAGTACTACTCTTGGATGACCCTGGATTTTCATATCAATGAGAAGATTGTAGAGGACTTCACTTGCACAAACTTGTGGTTCTTTAGGTTTTAGGTTTTAGGATTTGGGTTTAAGATTTAGGGTTTAG